AATGTCCCCAGTGTCCCCCAATGTCCCCAATGTCCCCAGTGTCCCCACTTTCCCCGATGTCCCCAGTGTCCCCAGTGTCCCCCAGTGTCCCCAGTGTCCCCAGTGTCCCCCAGTGTCCCCAGTGTCCCCAGTGTCCCCAGTGTCCCCAATGTCCCCAATGTCCCCAATGTCCCTGATGTCCCCGATGTCCCCTCACTGTCCCCAGTGTCCCCAATGTCCCCAGTGTCCCCAATGTCCCCAGTGTCCCCAGTGTCACCAATGTCCCCAATGTCCCCAAAGTGTCCCCAGTGTCCCCACTGTCCCCAGTGTCCCAAATGTCCCCAGTGTCCCCACTGTCCCCAATGTCCCCCCAATGTCCCCAGTGTCCCCAATGTCCCCAGTGTCCCCGGTGTCCCCGGTGTCCCCAATGTCCCCACTGTCCCCACTGTCCCCATTGTCCCCGGTGTCCCCGGTGTCCCCGGTGTCCCCAGGTGCCATACCCGTCCGTAGACCTCTCCCTTCCACCAGCCCGGCTGTCCCCTCTTGCTGAGGACGCGCACGATGTCCCCCTCCCGCAGCGACAGCTCCGTCCGGTCCCGCGCGCTGAAGGCGTAGCGCGCCTTGGCCGAGCCGAACGCGCGGGTGGCACCTGGGGACACACAGGGGACACGGTGACAGGGGACACCCCCAAAATCCCAAAATCCCAAAATCCAGCCCCAATAGAGCCGAAACTGGGCGGTACCTGGGGACACACAGGGGACACGGGGACAGGGGACACCCCCAAATCCCAAAATCCCAAAATCCAGCCCCAAATCCAGCTGAGGCTGTGGGTGGCACTTGGGGACACACAGGGGACACGGGGACAGGGGACATGGGGACACCCCAAAATCCCAAAATCCAGCCCCAATAGAGCCAAAAGTGCAGTGGCACCTGGGGACACACAGGGGACACGGTGACAGGGGACACGGGGACACCCCAAAATCCCAAAATCCCAAAATCCAACCCCAATAGAGCCAAAAGTGCAGGTGGCACCTGGGGACACACAGGGGACACCGGGACAGGGGACAGGGGGACACCCCAAAATCCCAAAATCCCAAAATCCCAAAATCCAGCCCCAATAGAGCCGAAAGCATGGGGACACACAGGGGACATGGGGACAGGGGACACGGGACACCCCAAAATCCCAAAATCCCAAAATCCAGCCCCAAATCCAGCTGAGGCTGTGGGTGGCACTTGGGGACACACAGGGAACGTGGTGACAGGGACACATTTTGGTGGTCCTGAGGAGGATTTTGGGGTTCCTGATGGGGATTTTGGGGTTCCCGAGGAGGATTTTGGGGTCCTGAGGGGGATTTTGGGGTTCCCGAGGAGGATTTTGGGGTTCTGAGGGGGATTTTGGGGTTCCCAAGGAGGATTTTGGGGTTTCCAAGGAGGATTTTGGGGTTCTGAGGAGGATTTTGGGGTTCTGAGGAGGATTTTGGGGGTTCCTGGCAGTTATAGGTTTCTGAGGAGAATTTTGGGGGTCCTGAGGGGGATTTCGGGGTTCCCAAGGAGGATTTTGGGGTTCTGAGGAGGATTTTGGGGTTTCCCACGGGGATTTTGGGGGTTCCTAGCAGTTATGGGGTTCTGAGGAGGATTTTGTGGTTCTGAGGGGGATTTTGGGATTCCCGAGGGGGATTTTGGGGTT